AGCCAGTCAGGAGTCCCTGGCACATCTTGAAGAAGGGAACATGGAGAACAGGGAAGGACACTGTTCTCCTCAGCCTGCCTCAGGGTCTCAGGCCTTAGAGTGCAGTTATGAAGTTAGAGGGGCATTGACAGATTCATGATGTGTGAATATTCAGGGTTCACAGCACCTGTTGGATCAGCTGAGGTGATGATGAGTCTAGGACTGGTGTCTGGGGTATATGACAGGCAGTTCCAGAATCACTGATACATGAAACTGTCCCATCCTCTGGTAGCACCCAACACTATATAAATTCTTGTTGCTTTTTAAGATGCAGATCATCATCACTTCCAAATTGTGTCAGATAGTGAAGCCTGCCAATATTATACCTTGTTGGCATCTTAATCTACAACTGAAACTCATTAATGAGCAAGACAAAGTTGGACCCCCTCAAGCATCATCCTGGGCTAAGCACAGAGTAGTGTAACAAACGCTTGTTAACAAGAAGGAGCATCTTCCAGCTTTCTCTGATGACCAAGCCAATGTTTCTGACAGTTTCTTGAATCAGAACTACAGATAAGGCATGATTTCCTTCCGAGAGCAGGAAGAAGGTTAGGATGGCAGATGGCCAGCCAGAAGGCCAGGACTCCCAAAATGCCTGATGCTGTCCCGTGGCTGCAAAGAATGTAACCAAGTTAACAGGAACAGACTTTCAAAAACTATTTCCACAAATGTACTATCAAACCTCCTGGCAATGTTTGGAGGACAAGGTCTTTTGCTTATCTATGGAATTAATTAGTTAAATATGAACGTAGAACTTGGAGGTCTCTGGAATGCTAAACTTCCCCGTGTCTTTTCACTACCTTCACATCAGAACAGCCTGAGTTAAACCTGACCTGGTCACCCTGACCCTGAGCAAAAGGCTGGAGAAGCATATTTCTATGGACTTTTCCAGGGTGGAAGGCAAATGAACCAGAAAAGCAGAGGCCCTAGACTGGGCACAAAGAGGGCCTCTGCTCACCCTGTCTATACTGTTTAAGAGATGTTTCTAGTATGGTGAAGGATGGGAAAGGCCTTTCCATTAAGTCACTAGTGACTTTAAAACCAAGTCTCATTTTCCAAACACTGTTATCTGTCCTTTCTCCTGCTGACTTGCTCCACAAATCCCATCTCCCCTGTGGTCAGGGCAGTTGCAGCTCCCTAGAGCTTCACCTGCTACAGCCTTGGTGCAGCTGCAAGAGGGTGGTATTTGCTTCAAAATAGTTTTGCAAGCCCATGCACACCAGAGGAGGATAGAGACTCAGGGGAAGGGAAGGGAGGAGGCTCATGTCAGAAGGAGAAGCAATAGAGAATATAATTACAGGTGAAACTCCCATGAAAAGGGTTCCTTAACTTTAACCACCTGCTGCACACTATCTTCTGTGCGGATGGTAAGCTGCTGGAGGGCAGGAACCACTTCTACTGCTTCCTTGAATCTACCCCCACAACCACACTTAATTTCTCAAGCCTGTGCTTTACTGCTTTGCACATCGCAGGAGCTAAAGTAGGCGTTATGTTAAGTTTTCAAGTGAAACAGAAATAAACATCTATTGTGACAAATAAGTCATCATTCCTAAGTATTATGATTGCTTGTTAAAAACAATTTCCCCAAACCTGGTGAATCCAAATTGATAGGAGAGGAGCCTGGGAATCTGTATATTTATTAGCATGCCAGCTGATTCCTACCAGTAAGTTTGGGAACTGCTGAGAGAACCATATTCTGGTCAGAACAACCAGGTTCAAATTCCAGTTTTGGAATTTCTCAGCTGTCTAACTGGAGTTTCAGTTTTCTTACCTGCAAAATGAGAACAACAATACCTACTGTGTAGCATTATTAAAAGAGACTAACAAAGGTCCTAATGCAGAGCACGTGTTCCCTAAATGTTTGTTCCCCTTCATCCTGAAGACACTGGGAACTACTAAAAGCCTCTGAGTAGATCATTAGCTTCAACCTGCTCTGCAACCCCAGAGGTTGCCCAGCCTCTTCTGTAACACCTCCAGTGACAAAGGATCATATTTACTATCTCCAAAAGCAGTCCATTCCATTTTCAGACAGTTTTAATCATTAGCTCTTTCTTCCTTTTGTAGAACTGAGATCCGCCTTGGGTGACAGAACAAATCTAATCCCTTTTCCACACGATAGGCTGATGCAATTAATTAAGATAAGGACAGTGAGGAGGAGGAGGTGTGTGTATGTGGAGGGGAGGGGTCCATTTGGAACACACTGCTTGTTTGAAGCACTGGGAGGGCAGCTCCAGGCACATGTCCAGCAAGTGGTTGATACGCAGGTCTGGAGTTCAGTAAAGGGATCAGAATTGTCATTTACATGATGTAAGAATTTGAAACTGTGAAAATAAATGACGCTGCTATCTATGGGGCAGAGCTAATGAAAGGTATTGAAGAATGGTCAGCAAGGTAGAAAGAGAGCCTTTAAAGAAGAAAGCTGGTAAATTCATGAAAAGTACTGTGGTGAAGAGGTCAGACCAATGGCAGAGAATCACTGAACCAATCACCCCAAAAGAGTTGGGCTTCTGCCCCTCCAGAGTCTTCTGGAGTTGCTTGGGATCACACCATCATGCTGAAAAGCAAATGCATGCTTCCTTTCCTACTGAAAGAGAGACAATTTGAAGAAGTAGCAGCAGCAAGTACAGATGACTGCAACATTTTCCAGCCTGGATGCTAAGACTGATTTCTCCAAATAAGGCTTCTATGCTCCTGTCTTTGGGGAAACACTGCTTAGTATAGTCCCTCCTGGAGATTAATCACAGTAAAGAATCCTATTTCCCTCTGTTTAATCCTGCATTTGCCCAACTTACTGAACCACTGATTTTTCACACAATACTTAACATCTTGAGGAACCAGTGTTTCCTGGCACATAATTTGGCAAATTAGGTCAGCAGAAGAGAGACAAGACAATAGTTTACAGGACTGTTGGTATCAAGGGAAATTTTTTTTCTTTTCATAAGTGGAAGAAACTTGAATATGTTTAAATGCTGAACAAAAGGAAGCCACTGTAGAGTTAAAAAAAAAAGGCCAAAAGCAGGTACTAGAGTGAGCCAGGCTCCAAGCTTTGGTAGAGGGTTAGCTTAGCAAAATACCTTAGCTCACTACTCTAGCCATAAAATATTATTTCCCTTGATGAATTCTAGTGATTACAAATGTTCACTATTCTAAACCATATTTACTTTCCTCTGAGGATACAGATGTTATCTAGATAAGGTTACGAGCAGATGATATAAACTGTATAAACTGATTCACTAGAAATAGAGTGCAGTCTCCACCCTTCTCCCCAGAGTCAGACAGAATGTGCCCCTTGCCAGGACCAGAGAAGGGTGTTTCAGGTCTTGTAGGTCAGGAGCTGATGCCCCACTCCCCCTGCCCAGGCAAGGACAGCTCTAGCACAGGATAGGCGGAGAGGGGAAATCTAAAAATAAAGCTCTCCAAAGAAACCGTCTTGCCTAAAGAGCAGCTTCCCACGCACACTGGAGTGCCACATCTGCGGGGGCTGGAAGCACGGGAACGGAACAATCCTGACCAAGTCACATAAGTATTACCCTTTTGCGGGAGGCAACAGCACATTTGAATCCCCTCATTGGCACCCCAATGTCTAGGCTGCAGACCCAGAACAAGGGCCGAGTGACAGAAAACAGGAGACTGAAAAGATCACCAGTGAGTAGCCCAGCCTTCCTCCCGCTATCCTCTCTTCACAGCAAACGTGAAGAAAGCTGCTCTCAACACAGAGGGAATCAAGCTGAGGGTTCATTCTAGAAAAGAACCATGAAGGAGTCTAGTGGGCTTGAGGCTCAAATCTGGACTCCCTTGGCTCTTCTCCCCACAGGAGGGTCAGGGACTAGCAACTGAGGAAAAAGAAAATCAAGCACCGAAAGAAAAACTGCAATTAGCATTTACATTGGTTGGCTATTGTCATCTCAAACCCCAAGGACAAAATAGATGTCACATTGCCAGGCAACTAGCAACTGTAGCCTCCCTTCCACGCCCCCCAGCTGGTATCGGAGACCACTAGAAAAAATTCAACCCAAGAGTATGATAGAGGCATTAAAACACAGACACACACAAACACACAGACATAAACAAACACACAAGCCTCAGAGGACACACACACACACACACACACACACCTCAGAGGAGTAATCCTACCACTTCTTTCTCTGAGGATTTTACCCTTGGAGAGATACAATGTACTTACCCCAGACTGTTGGAGTTTTGCCAAGAAGCCCAAGCAGGAAGAAGAAAACTATCACTAATTCTAGGAGTCCACAGTGTTAATTTAGCAATCTAACTCTCCAAGAGGTTTGTACTTTGACCTGACAAAGTATTATAATGTGCCTCAAGGGTCACAAGCTCAACCTTGGACAGTATCTCTGAAAAGCTTTAGCAGCAATCCACTGCTATATATCTGTTCCACCCGCCCTTCCTGTGGAAGGTACATCATCCCATCCTATGTCCCATGACTCATTTACAGCAGACCAGTGCAGCAGGGAGCGAGCAAACACAACTTAAAACAAACAAACAAAACAGAATGCAGCAACCTGTCAATTCTTTGGTCTCTTAAAAGAGACCCTGTACCAGAACAGTGATAGCTGATATGTTCAGATACAAAGTCTGATGTCTATTATGCATATGTGGAAGTGGGAATGCCAAGTTTCCCCTCAAATCACAGATTGTGAACAAAGTACTTTGAACATTTGAGTGCTACTTGAATGCTGACTAGCAACAGTCTTTTACACTTAGAGAGCACACTGAAAATTTCCCATACTGAGTCATTCAGGAGTGAAAAGGAAGAAGCCAGCTCACAAAAGGGAGGAGATACTGACCATAAAGTACACAACCTGAACACACAGTGCAAAGTGTTGTTTTAGTACTGGGAGTACACACTCCCTATCCCACTAGTTAAACAAGAAGGGCTGGGTTGGCACGGAGCTTCCCTCGTGCCACACAAGGTGGTGTTCAGAAGTGAGACTTACCTGACATACAAGGACCTCTTCTCACTTGTTCGCAGGGACCCAGACCCAGAGCTCATGCTGCTGTTCATCATCTGCTCTCGCAAGTCATGTATCTTCGATTCAAAGCGACTGTACTCTGTCAGGGAGACAAGGGAAAGGACAGGAAAAGAATGAACTCAAGGAGCTGCACTGAGCCTATCTGCCAGCGGCCAAAAGGCCAGGAGGACCCTTGGCTTCAAAGCAGCCAGAGCCAGCCCAGTCAATCTTTGCTTTGATAAGCAGAGTACCTCCGGCAAGCACAGAAAGACAGATTTCTCTCCACCCCCAGAGTGAAAGAATGAAAGAATACACCTGAAAAAGTAGTAACTTTTGGACAAATCAAATGGAAAAAGCTTACTGATCCTTCAAAAACAATAACTGGAAAGAGGTTCCAGAGCAGCCTTCATAAATCTTTAGAGCAGACACTGAAGCCCAAGGAGAGCAGATGGGAAAGGAGACTTTCCCAAAAAGTGGATTGCAGAGAACAGATGGCCCTGAGACGCAGGGCGGAAGGGCAGGAAAAGACCCGAGGCCATTATATGATTATTAGGCAAAGATGATCTGTTTCTAGGTGACTTTTTTTTTTGAGGAGGGAGAATGGAACGCAGTACAAAGGTAAAAACAAACCTCACAATCAGAAAAGGAGATCACAAAGTTCTCCTGAATTATCTCCCTTTTAACAATCAGGGTCTTTGGCTTCAGTAACAATTGAACATACATCATAATAAAAATTCTCCCAAACCCAGAAGTCTGCTGATATCTCTCTCCTCCAAAATCATCTAGTCAGTGGGATCGTAAGTCTGTGACCAACTATGTAGCCCACTGACACCATCGCACAGCCTGAAAAAGCCTCATCATTCTGGAATGGTGACTCCAAGTTTATACCCAATTTACCTGACAAAGGAAAATGAACTCTATCCATACAACTAGTATAAAAGGTTTTTTATACGGTTACTTTACTGTGACGTTCTCCTAGTACATCTCAAATGTGATATTCACATATACCACACACATACAGATGCACACTCACACACATACCGCACACATTTTTCAGGTCTATGATCACCACATAAAATGGGATATCTCTAAGGCACAGACTGTGAAAATGATAGAAAAGAGGCATACTTCATTATGAGAAGCTGATTTTAAAGAAAATCAAAATTTATACTAGGGGGTTGAAGGTTGGGAACTGCTTTAAAAAAACAAACACATTTCCAGGGGGAAAAAATTCCACAAAAGCATTTTCATGCACCACAGAGGGCTGGCAAGAAGCATCCCCATCTAGTCTGTATGACTCTACAGGCAGAAAACAGAACACCTGTTCCAACACCTGACACTCCCCCCTTCCCTCAGCAAAGCAACCTGACCTTCAGTTGGGTATAAAGGGAAACAGTAAAAAGCCTAAAAGGGAGAGAAGAGAGTTCTAGCTCAAACAAATCTCCTCTTCCCAACTAAGTTTCTTTTTGTTCACTCTGGTACCAATGAAGCCTACTGGTTAAATTTGTGTGCTCTTTCATTCATCACGCACTGGTGTTATGGTGATTTGTCCTCATTACTTACTCCCATCCCTGAAATCCTGCAGGAAGCAGTTAAGTCAATGACTCACCCATTAAATGTTGGGGGGAAAAAGAAAGACAGCAGCTGGACAATGTCCCTGTTCTGAGGGTTACAAGGCAACACATCAATATCAATGAGGCGTCCCAATCTAAAGGTAGAGGGCGGTGACCAATCTATCACAGCAGCCCTGGACAGCAGCAGGGCTATCTACCTCCCACCCTATCTACCTCCCACCCTAAGGCTCAGCCCTCCAGCCCAACCCTCTCTAGTTGGCTCTTTCTCGCCCTCCTCCCCACTCACCGGCTGAGAGAAGACCGGGTGAAACAAAGAGATTTCTGACCAAGCAGCCCTTTCTTGCGCAAGATGAGTAAAAGGCAGAAATATGCATTGAACGCAGGAAAAAACACCCAATCTATCTTTAAGCTGTTTTCCCCTCTCCCAACTTGTTTATATATTCTCTTCTTTGGAATTGACTTGCCCACTGAACTCCAACTTAGCAGCAGGTCATGGCAGTTGCTTAGTAATTACATTTCTTTAAAAACCCTTTAAAAAACAACCACCAAACCACCATTTCCTCAAGCTCCTAATCCAAGGTTGATAACACTGTGCCAGAGGGCCCACTTAAAATAGACTATAGAAAGAGAACAAAGCTATTGCTTTAAGGAAGTCATTTTCTGTTTTCTACATGCTACTAAGCTTTCAAATCTATTAAACAGTGTTTTATTCACTTTTCCCCATTCAGATGATCCCGTTAGAGTTCTAGCTGCTCACAGGTCTCTGGCTTTTATTTGCAGAGTTATCTAATGTCCAGTAGGCACGGAATAGCCTTTGAATAAATGATTGTTGGGTAAACGAGAAGCAAATTAGAAAACTGTGCCCAAGTCGATGCTTCTGTTCTCAAACTAATAAACCTAATGGTTTAACTGATGGCTGCCAGCTTCACTGAGGGCTTGGAAAGGTAGTTAATAGGTATTCCCATTTACTTTTGTTCCCAAGGTTAATTGTTGAAAGCAAATGGAGTATATGTTTTTTAAACACCTTTTTGAGATGCTAATAACCCACAGTGGGCATCTGATTAGCAAACTTTGTTTATAACAGAGAAAAAATAATTCTAACAAAAAGCTGTTTAGAATAGTCTTTAGATAGATAGTACCTCATCTTAATATTAGAGGCATCATTTTCCAAGAACAAAAGCTTCACCTAAACAGTATCTGAATTCTAACACCTCACAATTTGCCAAGGCTTCTCTTCCCCTTCCACTCAAAACAAACCCGTTGCTGGAAGGCATATCCTAGGCCTAAGTCATTGCCTTAGAAGCCCACCGGACCAGCCTCTGTAACCCAAACGTCCTACTTCAAACAGGCTATTTTAAAGAATATTTATTACTAAAATCTTAAGTCTACTAAACTGTGTTATATTTATTTTTTCCCATTCAGATGAACCCAACTATTTGTGATCCACAAAAGATATCCACAGTGAGTCATACCCTCATTCTCTTTACTAATCAGAGAGAAAAGGGGGTGGGAGTAGGAGGACAACCAGACATCATTCCCCCAAACAGCGTTCCTCACTGACCACCTGGGGGCCCTCTGAAAAACCAGGATCTTGGACCCTCGCACTTGACACTGACTCAGAACTTACTGAATAGGCCCAAGAATCTGTATTTTTGACAAGTATAAAGGTGAGTCTGATGCCAAATAAAGTTTGAAACTGCTGGTCTTGACTACAAAATTGAATTTTGTTTTTGTTAGTTCAGGGAAAAGACAAGATAAGTATTCTGCAGCCAGTCTCAAAAAGAAGGTAGGACAAGAGGGTTGGAAAGCTTTCATAAAAAAAGAAATCGTAATATAATTGCAAATTCCATGGGAAAATGCTAAAGAGGCCTCTGTCCAATGTGCCTGCAGAGAAAGCTAATGAGTTTATTTTTTTAATTATAAAAGTAGCATATGATTTTAAAAAATATTTTTTCTTTGGACATTCCTGTATCATTTCCCCATCCCAGTACCCAGAAGCAACTAGTTAGGAGTTTTAGTATGTATCCTTCCAGACTTATTTTCTGTATATATATATCATTTATATACATTAACAACTCACAATGATTCACATGATTTTTTCATTCTCTGGTATGTCATGGCAACCTATACTGACATGAATCATGACCTACCTCATTCTTTATAATAGCTGCATAGTATTGCATATTATGGACAGATCATAGTTTATTCAGTCATATCCTAACTGACATATATTTAAATTGTTGATTTTTTACATTACAATCAGTGCTGCTCTGTGTATTTGTATGAGCATTTCTATAGCATAGATTCCTTGAATTGAAACTGCAGGGTCAAATGATACGCGCATGAAAAAATTTGATTGGCACTACCAAACTGAAGCCCAACATTCTGAAACCCTTCTAACTGGAAGTGAGGATAAACTGCTATTCTAAAGCTTCCAGCAGCTTTTCTGTTCCTGAAGAAATAGAACTTACCTTTAAGGACAGATTGATCTTTCGTTTTGGGAGAAAAAACTTTAATAAGCATTTTGGTTATGGGAAAGTAAAGCCAAAATTGCATTCTGGAATAGACAAAGAGGAACCTCAAATGTTCTCTCTGCATAATCACAGGAAAGGTCCACCTGTGGGTGGAATTGCTGATTTAAAGGGATTGTTCTACTACCTATATGACATTCTATCTACCTCTAGAAATATCTACCTTTAGTTTTGACCACTTTGCATCCACCTACTTGATAATTTCAGGCCAAATCTCCCTGGTACTGCAAACAACAGCCCCCTTTCCCCTGTGCACAACCAGTGTTTCCTCAAGTTTTGCTGATGTTCTTCCTAACTGCCTCCTCAAACCATCTCTTTCTTTCTAATTTCCACTGCCATTGCCTTTTTGTTTTCTCATTATTATCTTCTCTTGCCTTCTCTGGACCACTGCTGTATTGCTCTAGCTGGTAGTCTGTCTGCCCCCAGGCTCTCCAAATTCCAGTCCAGTTTAAGATTATTTGAAAAGCCTTCCTAAAACTCCAACTTGGAGCCCCTCATCCAAGTATCTATAATAATTCAATAGCAACTAAAGAATCTTAATATCTCAACTAAAATGTCAAAGACTGCTAAAACCATCATCCTATCACTCTTAGCTGATCTATCCCATGTGTCATCCATCAGACAGATCATCCTCTTTTAAAAACATTTTATTTATTTTTTTAATTGGTGGAAAACTGCTTTACAATTTTATGTTGGTTTCTGGCATACAATAACAGAATCCTCTTTTGAGTTAACCTGCCGGCAACTCTTGAACACAATTTGTTCATTCCTAGTTACTACTCCCTTGTCCTGAAATTTTCCTCCCTGCCTGACACTGAACATCCTTTATGTTGTTCACCACCCCGAAGTCTTATTCATTCATTTATTTATCCAAATATTAACTAAATGTCTACTGTGTGCTAAGCATTATGAGAGCTGATGGGAATATAAAGGTAATCAAATGGTTCCTAGAAATTACAATAATGAAAGAAACAACTATTTAATTACAACTTTAA